ATAGTATGTAAGTTTCTGACACCATATGTAGATTATATGCTTTCATATTACATTGTTCGCTGAGAGTAAGTTGTTTTTGTTTACCTTTCTTACTGAAATCAGCTAATGGAACAATGATGAATTTTTATATTTTTGATATTTCTCGCGAATTTAAAATTGTACTTGAAGAAAGATGAACCAGTACAGAACAGATTGTTGTATAATTAATGTTTGATTACTGGAAAATGAAATTTTATGGGTTTTTCGCTTTAAGAGAATGCCGGACTGTCCTGTTTTACCGACAGAATGCGAATTTGGTTAAAATGCAAAATATTTTTTTTGATTATAGATATCAACAAATCCTTTTCCATAATTAAAGTATACATAATAACGGAGTGCGGGGTTTATGATTTTATATGAAAAGTGCAAAAAAAATTAAAAAATTACAGTTTTGTTATCGGCTTCTGCCGTCAACATTTACTTAATATAAAAAATTTATAATCTGCACGTGCCTAACAAGTGGACTCCGCACCCGGCATTTTATCAAAGAGTATCGGTGAACTTTGAGAAGTGAGTTTAGAAGCTGTATAAAAAAGATTTTACTATGCAAAATTTTGCACACCGAAATGTTTTTTACTAGGCTTCTAAATACATTTTTAAACGTTCACTTATATTCTTTCATGCAGTTCCGAGTGGAGAGGTATCTTATTTTGCACATATACATTGCAAAACTTTTATATTAAATAAGTATTGTTACGACCTGACGCAAGAAGCCAGTAAAAAAAGCCGGTAAAACAGGACAGTCCGGCATCCTCTTAACGACAAAATAAAACGAGTTGTTAAACTATTTGTGCGCGAATTTATGCGCAAAAATCTTATAATTAACTTCAATGTTAAGAAACAACTGTTAATGTGTATGTATAAATAATATAAGTATGAGCGAGGGGAGGGGCGGAGCTTCTTCCTCTGCACCCCACCCCAGAAAAACCTAATCTGAAAAACCATATCTCAAAATTATTGAAATCGGGAGATGGTATCTCTACATAATTACCAAATAAATTTTCTGTGAAATTGACGCACTATCATCCTGCGTCCGGCTCTTAACAGCCCACAAAGTTCAAATTTATATTTTCACATATAGAGCATTAATAATCTTTGATAGTAAATGTTTCTTACATTAACTTACACTTCACGGATCACTTTCTTTTCGACATATATTGTAAAGGGTATATTCCTAAATTATACAAGCTTTGAATTTGCGCTCTCTTTTTGTTCCTGAGATATGCGATTTTGAAATATTATAATTTTCGTACTTGTATCATTTTTTCGTTATATCCTACTTATGTTTTTTTGTTTATATTTATTTGTTATATTTAAATCTTTTTTTCAGTATTCATTATACAGGGTGTCTGATAATAATTGCCCCACCTAATGTGCAGGTAAAGCGGGTTAAACCGAGCAGGAAAGTTCTTTATCATTTTGCGATCTTCGTAATAATTATTGAGAAATTAATTTAAAAAGATCGACCAATTCGCGCGAGTATAAGCGTGCAGCGAGAAGAGACAACCCAAAAGTATGCGGTTGCTAAGCGCGCGACAAAGTTTTGGGAGGAGCGCTCTACAAATGACAACAGTTATGTACGAGAGCGATACATAACGATGGTCCTCGCGTCCTAGCAACCACATATTAATGCCGCCCATATCACGCCGTTCTTTCTCACCACGTGGTAATACTTGCGCGAATTGGCCGATCTTTTTTAATTAATTTCTTATTAATTATTGCAAAGATCGCAAAACGGTAGAGGACTTTCCGACTCGGTTTTATCTGCTCCATCTGCATATTACGGGTTTCGTAGGGAGGAGGCGGAAACCACTGTATCCATGCATATACTTTACAATGCGAAGCGACGTTCAGCCCAGAATTGTTGTGTGGATGGGAAAGTGTATACGTGAACGCAGTGAGTTCCGTCCCCCCCCCCCTATGGGGGGGCTCCACTTCCGGAAGATATAATCTAACCCAAACCTATTTCTGATTTAAAACTAAAATTTGGTGTGGGTTACGTTGTATAACTTAAACCAAATTTTCAGAAATAGGTTTGGGTTAGGTTATATTTTTCGGAAGTGGAGCCCCCTTCGTAGGGAGGAGGCGGAAACCACTGTATCCATGCATATACTTTACAATGCGAAGCGACGTTCAGCCCAGAATTGTTGTGTGGATGAGGACTTTCCGACTCGGTTTTATCTGCTCCATCTGCATATTACGGGTGGGGCAATTATTATCAGACACCCTGTATATTTTCAATATTAGAATTATATCCTCTTGCAAATGATTTGTAAAATAAATATTTAATAAATAATTAATAAGATATTAAAAAATTGCATACTATTGTTTTTCAATATTTTTCTTAATTTATTTAAATATATTATTAAGTATTTATTATTAAAAATAAAAAATAAATATTTAAACAAACGCTTGGACGGGGTTATTTAAATTTTCGGTCATTATTTACTATAACGGACCCAGCTCCAATGATGTTGACCTTGACATATGTTGTCAAAGACATAATCCTGAGTAACTTTTCCTTATAACTTAATCGGCGGTCTCTTATAATTTTTAAGATATTTAAAGTTAAAGTTAGATTCGAAACGAAAATTTGGTTTGAGTTATATAACGTAACTTGAATCAAATTTTAGTTTTAAATCAGAAATAGATTTGGGTTAGGTTATATTTTTCGGAAGTGGAGCCCCCCGTACGGAGGGGGCGAAACCCACTGTGTCCATGCATATACTTTACAATGCGAAGCGACGTTCAGCCCAGAATTGTTGTGTGGATGGGAAAGTGTATACGTGAACGCAGTGAGTTCCGTCCCCCCTACGGAGGGGCTCCACTTCCGGAAGATATAACCTAACCCAAACCTATTTCTGAAAATTTGGTTTAAGTTATACAACGTAACCCACACCAAATTTTAGTTTTAAATCAGAAATAGGTTTGGGTTAGGTTATTGTCAAGGTCAACGTCATTGGAGCTGGGTCCGTTATAGTAAATAATTACCAAATTTTCTTTTATGCGGAAAGTTCTAAATCATGTATTTTATAGTTTTATTTTATTATAAAGTAAAGGCGCGGGAGGGGGAAGGGCGGAACTCCTCCCCCTGCATCCCCATCCCGAAAAGAATTAACCTAACTCAAAATTATTTTTTATTTTAAATTGGAATAACGTATTCGATTTGTTGATTCTACCCGACACTGAATCGAGTTGGGTCAGATCGAAAGTTTGATTTGAACCTTGATGATTCTAAACTATCATCTAACTATGGCGGAAAGCGTTTTTAACCTCCATCAAATATTTTTAGCATTATTAAACATTATCTCAAAGAAATTAATGTATATTAGATATCTACTGGATGTTCTCAATTTGCATTAGAGATATCCATGAATATGTAGGAAACAGCTATTATACATGCTTTAAATATCCAAATGTCCGCAATACGAGATCTTATAAATATCCACAAAATATGTAGACCAATATCCATTGGATATCTACATCAGTATTCAGTGGATATTTATGTAGATATCCATTGTATGTTGGTTAAATTTTAGTCACAAAATGACTAATTAAATATTTTAGAAGTTAGATCTTATGAGACCCACACGTGACATATCGATATGTCCCATTCACGGGACATCATTTTCTGACGTTTGTTTGACGGCAAAACTAAGATTAATTATAATAATAATAATAATAATTATTAGAAATTGTCCGAATTAAATGTCTAGTGAACGGTTCATCACGACTCATATTAACGATTATTTCTAAATTATATTAAATAGCCTACATGACTGAAAGTAATCATGTATGCATATTAAATTTTTATAAAATATATTTATAATAATATCTTACAAATCCTACAAATGTCCTGAACCATCCTGGACATATTCAGGATGATCCTGAGGATGTTTTGTGCTGTCTGGGATATGTGAGAAGGAGGATAAAAGTCACTTATTTCTTGCCGAGAGAGGAGCATACGTAAATCTCAAGGTTTGCAGAATAGCCTTAATGATTTGCTGGAATATGTAGTTAACTCGTCTTACGCACTGCTAATGCTCGACTTAATCTTCACTCGGTCGAATTAATCAGCTTCGACGTTTCTTTAACGATTCCCGGATTCTTATCGTCTTTACATTTGTTAACTTCATTCGTACTTCGTATTTTTATTTGAAATTCGAATTATCCGTCTTTCATGTAGCAACGATCTCATCTTTGGTTGTCTCGCTCATTGTCTTATAATCTTTATCTCACAAAGAATTGTCTTAATTTTATTTTCCGTGTTCTTTTCATGGCTCTTCACGCGCGTCCTCGTGGCTCAATCCTTCTATTTCTATCATATGGGTTTGGGATACTCTGAACGGGAACTTAAGATAAATGTCCAAGAATAGAAATATATTTGATCACTTACAAAAATTTAGGAAATTAACTCTTGTCAGTCCTCTCTTGTGTCGATCGTCGTGTGTTGCCTCTCATCCTTCTCTTTTGACTCATTTTAATTATGCGCGGTTTGACTTGTACAGTACAATGTGCATTTTGGTTTGAAATCGACATCTCATAGTGATACAATATACGATTTCAGAACGATATTGGAATCGCATTGAATGGATGCAGTGCCACAGAAAAATTCACGTTATGGATAATTATAGTCTGTGTGGCTCCAGAGAGATGATAATCTTATTATCTCGCCAGAGTTAGTAGCTAGACTATGAATACTACAATTTTAAATGTAGCAAGCATTTGACAAAATCTGCTCAAACAGACTTGACTGATTGACTTCGCTGACTAGTCGTTTTAAATAAGATACAAAAAATTATAAAATCGAACAAATAAATAACTTTTCTATACCAATAGAAATATAAGTTTTAAAATGATAGTTTATGATAAAATCATATAAAATTGCAACACAATTTGAATCTGTTTCTATTGTTTTTATCGGTTTTTTAAGCAGGGTATATTATAAAATTAGTAGCTATTAGTGCATGTGTGTGCACGTTGTCAACAGTTGGCAGTAATGGGACAAGAATTTCGTCAAAAGTTGTTGATAGCGAAGAAGAAGGGAGTGGCATGAGACGTGCCTGTTCGCTGAGTGATCTTTCCATCAACCCTTCAAATAAGTTACTGCATGGTCCTGTGCAAGGTATCTTTTATCATTCTGTATAGATAATATATTTCGAATTTTGATATGCTTCTATACTATATTATGAATATTACTGTACATTCGATAAGTTATTTATATATACAGGGTGTATCTGAAATGATGCACTAAACTTTAGGAGCGTATTCTAGAGGTCAAAATAAGACTTTTTTCTTATGAATATGGGTCCGCAAATGAACCCCCCTCCGAGCTAAAATTCGAAAATGTGTGAAATACGTTCCTATTTTTTCATTTTAGTGGCTTACTTTACTTCATAATTTACTGGGCTATACCAAATTTCAACCTTCTGCCATTTTTTTTCTGAAATGTAGCCAATTTTTAATTTTTTTCACAAACTTTAGAGGCCTCTAGCTCGGAGGAGGGTTTATTTGCGGACCCATGTTCATAGGAAAACAAGTCTTATTTTGACCTCTAGAATATGCTCCTAAAGTTTAGTGCATCATTTCAGATACACCCTGTATATATACATATATACAGAGTGGCCCACGTAAAGTGTTACAAACTAATAACTCTAAAAATATTTGTTAAATCAAGAAATTGTTCATGAGAAAGTTTCATGGGTAATTATTTACATTAACGGACACCTCGCCGATGACCTTGACCTTGACATATGTTGTCAAGGACATGACCCTGAGTAACTTTTCCCTATAACTTAATCGGCGGTCACTGTTTATTAAAAAGTTATAAACAAAAAAAGTTTGAGAAATTTGCCACTTTGTGTCAGTGCTGAAGAAAGTAATTAGTATATTTACAACGCGAAGCGAGGTCCACCCCACGATTGTTGTGTGGATGGGAAAGTGTATATGTGGACGCAGTGGATTCCGCCCCCCTCCCTCCTGCGGGCGGGTTCCACTTCCGGAAGATATAACCTAACCCAAACCAAATTTCAGTTTTAAATCAAGAATAGGTTTGGGTTAGGTTATATCTTCCGTAAGTAGAGCCCCCGCAGGGGGGGGGGCGAAACCCACTGTGTCCACGCATATACTTCACAACGCGAAGCAAGGTCCACCCCACAATTGTTGTATGGATGGGAAAGTGTATGCGTGGACGCAGTGGGTTCCGCCCCTCCCCCCTCTACGAGAGGGCTCTACTTCCGGAAAATATAACCTAATCCAAACTAAATTTTTAATGTAAATAATTACCAAATTTGGTGTGAATGGGCGAGGGGTAACTTTAAAATTTTAAATGGAACCCTCCATTTTTTATTGCACATTCTTGTAGCTTATCTCGAGAGCTTTTCAAAACACTATAATGAAGTATTTTTTCATTAAGTACTTTTTGAGTTATTTTATATCTTAATCTGACATATTTTGATATAAAAAATAAAATATCTCGTAAAATATTTAGTTTTCGATAATCTTACCGTAATACTTTTATGTAAAGAATAATGAGACGAACATTGTTGAGTGGGAAATTATAATATTGATGTTATGTTACTGTTACTTTGTGTTTGCTGGGTATATATATGTTCCCATTAAAACAAATTAAAATTTAATGTTACATATTTGATTATATAATTACAGTGAAACTTCGAAATAGCGCACTGTACGGGGCTCTGGCACGCTATAAGATTTAGCCCCACTTCCGTAAAATTCAAAGCTAATGGCCACGCGAGACATGCACGAGCACGTCATTTCAAGTATATTGCCGGGAGAAAACATTGCGCCTACAGATCTACGTGTTGCTGCACGATTGAATCGTTACTTCCACTCACGCTATTCAGGAATGATCTAGCATGTATGGAATGTTGTGTGCGCTATTTCGAGGTTTTACCATATATACAGGTGTTCAAAACTCGCCGACTTAATGTTTTTCAAAGGGAGATAACAATTTTAATATTAAAATATCGAGGATATAATAGTTTTTAAATAAAAAATGTTCAATCAAATGATTCAAGATTTGTGCTCAGGTATGGTGCATCGCACAGTGATAAAAGCAGTCTTACATGTTTGTGAAATATCATGTTTGATATTTTGCAATATTCTTATGTATACACGTATATATATGACTTTACTTTAATTATTATTTGCACGTATACACACTGTATTTATTAATTATTTATGTTTGAGTGATTAATAAAGAATTTGAACATAGAATTTATAATATTAAATATGGAGTCACATACATAGGATACGAGATTGCGTTTATCACTGTGTAATGCATCGTATCTGAGCGCGCGAATTTTAGATTTGATTGGTCAACTTTGAATTTTATAATGTTATTTACATTTATTTCTTTTAATATATTGCTTTTTTACAGGAACCAAAAATCGTGGTAAAATAAATTTTGTAATGTTAAATATAAATATTTATTAAGTCAATTTTGTTTTATAAATCAAATAATTGGGTTATATACAATATAGATCGGTAATTCGTGGTACAACTGGCAAGAGGCTGATTCTTCATGAAACAAGCTGAAAATTGTTGCAGACATTTGCAGCAAAATTTTGCAGGCAGTAATCTTTTTTACTAGGCTTCTAAACACGTTTCTAAATGTTCACTTATATTCTTTCACGCATTTCCGAGTGGAGATCTATCTTATTTTGTACATATAAACTGCAAAACTTTTATATTAAGCAAATATTAATTATTATGGCCGATAAAACAGGACAGTCCGGCATCCTCTTAAGGATCCCCTTAAGTATATAGACATTTCTTAAAAAATTCAAAATTTTATAAAAAATGAAGTCTTTCACCGTTCCTCACTAAATTATATATCACATATCTTTTAATAATACTCTATTCATGTAAAAAAATTTAACCTGATATCTCAAAATTTGCGAAAGTTACAACGTGTACAGACATTTCTCAAAAAATTAAAAATTTTATAAAAAATGAACCTTTTCATCGATTCTCATCAAATTCAATACAAACCGTCCTTCAATGATACTCTATCCATGTAAAAAAAAATTTAGCCCGATATTTCAAAAATTCCGGAAGTTAGAGATTGTACAATATATTGCGTACACACATACACACATACCCACATACACACATACACACATACATACATACATACAGACATACATACATACAGACATTTTTTAGGAATATGATTTTTCAACGTTTTAGAACATTCTAAACACATTAACATAGAAAACTTGAAAAAAAATTTTGTCACGAAAACAAAGTTTCCTCTATGAGGAAGCAAAAATAAGTCGAAATTGCAGAATGAAATTTTTTCATGAAGAATCAGCCTCTTACCGGTTGTACCACGAATTACCGATCACCCTGTATATATAATTCCAATCAAATATTATGTTTAAAATTTATATTTAAGAATTAAATTTTTTGTAATTTATATAAAAATGCAATACATGTATAAACTATTACATGCATAAGCGCCGCCGGCGTTGAAAGTGCCTTCCAAAAGGTATCCTCAAGTGACAAATACCCTAAGTAAGCGAACGCCCGAGATCGAATTCGGGATCTGCCAGATATGAATCGGACGCTCATCCATTGTCAGGGTGCCATGCATCACTTATATATGTTTATATGATTAAAAAATCTATTTTTTTATTTTAAATATTTTTATGAACAAGAATTAATTAATTAATTAGATATTACAATAAAGAAAATTACAAAACTTTTAACAATTATATACATAAACAAAATAATATATAAATAAATTATTTAAATTATTATAAAATTGTATTATATTTTTATAGAAACAAAATATTTAGTTAACCTAAATGATATGTCAATGTGCCTTGTGCCTTATACCTCTGCGTGCGAAATTCGGGATTCTTAAATTAGTTTAATACTACCTTGATTATTTATTAGTAAAAGTAAAACGATAGATTTCTGAAAAATTTAACCAAAATATCTTTAGTTAATTGTGTTAATCAGAACAATTCTTTCAACGCTTGCCGTAATATATTTCTCGATGGTTGATAATGCTATTTTGCCTTAACCCCATGCAGTATTGTCAGTTTGAGTAAAACACTCCGTCGTTGATTGTCACGTTTTATTATCATCTGCACAATTTGCATCGCTATATCCTATTAGTTTTCCGTTATTCGACTTAGTTAATTTTATCCGTAGTTTGTTATACCTTTTACATACTTAAAAATTCTTTCAACCGTGTTTCAGTCCATTTTATTATCGGGGTAAGCAAGATGTTGATTCATCTTACCCAGCACAAAAGTTATGTCAGAACACGTTCATAAACTATAATGCATCAGACTGTCTATTGTTTCCCTGCATGACCTTTATGATGCAATTTTAAGTCGAATTTGTGCGTTTTTTCTGCAGGTATTGACACTGGATTTGCATTTTGCATATTATATCTTTCTAGAATTTTTGGGCATACGATGCTTGATTTTTGTATTTAATTTTTGAAGAAGATTCTTGAAGGGCTGCTTTTTCGTCCTTTGTTGCGATTAATCTGTCGTCGATGTAGATTACAATATCATTGCGTTTCCATCTCCGTTCATAAAAACGTATGGATCTAATTATGTAGGTTACAAATAATCTGTCCTTTCTTAAAAACTTCATGAAAGGCTTATTCCAGCACATTGAAGCCTGCTTCAAATCATACAAGCTCTTCTTTAATTTGTATACCTACATTCCATCTTCGTATCTTTCAGTTTGCTCCATGTATATATGTCTTTCTTTAATTGTTTGTTGAGGAAAGCTGACTTAAAATCAAATTATAAAATCTTCAGTTCTCTTGCGCGAGCTCGATCACCAAAAAAATCATTTTTAATAAATTGAATTTGACAAACGGAGTGAAAAATGCACTGTAATCTATTCGAAGCTATTATGAAATTGTATTTGACAAACGGACTGAAAAATACACTAATCTATTCGAAGCTACTATGAATGGTAAACCTTCGGAAAACTCACCTATATGAAATAATGGATAAGAATACCCAATTCTTATGTATTTTTGCCTCCTGAACACGAATATGAAACTTAAAAATGGCGGTCGGACTCGCAAATCGAAGAGAAACGCAAAAATCCAACCAAACGCGAAAATCCAACCCATGTCAGAGGGATGCATTTTTATTAGTAATAATTCACCCCTGAGATATAGGTTTGGGTTGGGTTATATCTTCCGGAAGTAGACCCCCCTCCCCCGTAGAGGGGTGGAACCCACGGCGGTTTCTGTTCCGTGATGACTTTATAGCAAAAAACTGGTCCTTTTACATTGACCAATTCTCTACTCTTTTGAGCTTTGTAATCTTGTAAGATTCAAGGTCTATTTTTCGTTATCTTTTACTTGCACTCGTGGCCAGATAACTTCAAAAATGCTCCCAAACAACGTAAAGATGCCCCTAAAAGATGACTTAAAAACGTCTTATTGTTGTTTAAAGACTTTATTATATCTTTTGGCCTTTTGGTGCAATCTGGACTGTGAATTTTATTTTTACAGACCGAAATGAATATCTGGTGTACATTCCTGGACCTATAATCTGTTATAAGGGGTTAAAATAAATCCAGAATGCAGATAATTATAATAATTTATTGATAATTAAGAAGCATTACAAAGACAAAACACCGTTACCGGTTTTTAGCAAGGGACACGTATAAGAGAGAAATACACGCTGTTATAAAGACCATAGAAAAGAATATCTCGCTATCTAAGATACTAGATTAATACATACACATTTGCAGTTTGTTAGGCGCGTAATACGAACCTATTTAACATGCTATTCCTAGACAACCTAGGTGACTTATTGCTTTGCATGCACATGCATATTCAATAAAAGGAATTGAGATGATGCGTGGTTCCATGAGAGTGGCTGATTCATCTAGTCGGCGAGTCCTAAAGTCGATTCCGGACTCTCATTCTATATGCATTTCCGGAGATTGGTGGACTTTTTCTCATATAATTAAAAGTCTGAAAAAGAGTAAAAATTATCAAAAAAGTTACGAATTGACATAAGTTCAGCGTTTCAGTAGAATTGTAAATGTGCGAGATAGTCCTCTTAGATTAGAAGTATTTTTTTATGAAAAAGATAATAATAAAAGAATTCTTTAATAAAAAACATCATTATTTGTTCTTTCAAATAGTAAAAATTTTTTTCCGATATTTTCTTACATCTTCGAAAACAACGAAGACATTAAGTTCGTAATAAATGGGACATGCATGCATTGCGCGTGTAAGAATGTATGTGTATGTGTTGTGTTATATTAAAAGAATATGTAAATTATGTCCGAGAAGAGATTTCTTTTCCTAATTAGTGATAATAGTTTCAGGAAAATTAGGAAGTAAAAATATAAGCACAACATCAAGAACCGTATCTGGAAGTGCCAATCTTAACAGTCAATCCAAACATGCTTCAGGAAAAACACATATAACAAGAAGTAGCAGCGTTGGTGTTTTAAACCAAGTAAGTTTTGTAACATATACAAAAAAACACCGAAAAAAATTAATTTGCGCTAAATAAAAATTATGATTATTTATATAGAGCGATTCAGAATCAGATGCTGGTATAGCAGGCGGAAATAGTAGAGGATGGAGTAGTCAAACCAGCAACAACAGAATGACCGGTATAATGAGGCCAACGATTAGTTCTCAAAACAAAATCAATCATCAAAATAAATCAAGCTCTTCTGGTAGCACTGTTTCGTCAATTTTGAGAAGACGTGGAATGCAAGGAGCTTTTTCAACTAGTATTTAAATTTATATTTCTCGTCAAAAAACACATATTGTGCTATATTTATTTAAAATATATCATTGTTTTGCAGTTAATCTAAGTCAAGTAGGAAACCAAGAAGACTCGAGTTCAGAGGATACCTCTTCAAACGGAAATGGAGGAAAACCAGCATTACCACCAAGACCTAGAAGTATTAGCATTGACCATTCTTCTGCTAGGTAAAGATTTTATAACTAAATAATTCTTAGCTTTTATAACACACAACGAAATTTCCAACAAATATATAAAATAAAACATTAATGATTAAACGTATATACAGAGTATCTGATAATAACTGCCCCACCCGTAATGTGCAGGTAGAGCAGGTTAAACCGAGTAGAAAAGTCCTCTACCGTTTTGCGATTTTTGCAATAATTATTGAGAAATTAATTAAAAAAGATCGGCCAATGCGCGCGAATATTAGTGCGCTACGAGAAAGGACGGCCCACGCGGCATCACGGTTGGGTCGTGCCACGAAGCGAAGGAGGGGCGAGAGGAGCGGATAGCAATGTTTACATACGAGCATCGCGGAACACTGAATTCTCGTATAAAAAATGGGAAATATTATTCGTGGCGCGACCCAATCGCGATGCCGCGTGAGCCGTTCTTTCTCGCAGCGCGCTCATACTCGCGCATTGGCCGATCTTTTTAAATTAATTTCTCAATAATTATTGCGAAAATTGCAAAACGGTAAAGAACTTTTCTACTTGGTTTAACCCACTCTACCTGCACCTGCACATTACGGGTGGGGCGATTATTATCAGACACTCTGTATGTACATACATATACACACATACACGCATGCATACATACACACATAAGCATGCACGCGCGCGCGTGCGCGCGCACACACACACACACACACACACACACACACAGACACACCCAGTAAGTAAAATGCGCACAATAAACAGATCGGAAGCAGATTTACTCAGAAGGTGCTAAAAATTGGCATTAACTGTGTCCGCATTAGGCTTGCGATTTGTCAACAGAACCTGTTTACAGAATGTGACATCAAATTGGGAGCAGAAACCCAACAAGACCTGCAACTCCTAGTCATTTAAATAGTAACGTAAATTGGTATTTATGAAAGTTTTTAATATTTGATTCAATTTTAGTAAACACAATTATATTAATGTTATATAAGTGCAATGAAACTGAATATTATAGGTGCATAAATGTTATCAATGAATAATCGGTTAATTGTAATTTGCCTTTCATAAAAATAACATGTAATGTTAACGTAGTTAATATATTTTACATAGCCAAACACATTGTTTCAACTTAATTTAAAAAAATAAAATTAATTGTGTGGAAATATAATTAAATTTAATCAATAAAACTTGAGATATAATTTATATGGAAATTAAACTCCTAGTTTGTGTTTTAAATAGACAGTAAACAATATAATTTTCCATTAATTCTATCGATTCTAATCAGTTTATATTCTGAATCTGTCTTGTTAGACTTGTACTATATACATATATTATCAGAAGTTAAACTTATAGAAACAAACACAACTTTTTTGATCAATCATCATGTCTTGCAAACTTTACATCCACTTCTAACAGAAATTTGAATATGAGAAAGTATATCGCATAGCGATAAGCGAAGGAACTATCGAATCCAATAATCGAATTAAAATACATATTTACATCATAATTCCATTTAAATGACTAGGAAATACAGATTCTGCGCGCACACAGATCCTACTCGGTTTCTGCTACTAATCTGTCATCTTAATCGGTAATAACAGCTCTTGTAAGAAATTTATAACCTTTTTGCTAACAATAATTTGTAGCATGCACTTAACAAGACCTTTTCGAACATATTTGGATCTATACTACCTCCCAGTAAGCAATTTGATAACAAATTGTTGCCAAATTGGCATCAAATTCGCTCAAAAATCGAACAATTATCTGTTCTATTTGCCAAAAATCAGTTCAATATCTTGAATTTTCTGTATAAGAATTGTGTCAAAAATTGAACTGATAGAAATATATATATTATAATATTATTAGCATTTTGCAGGCTTTATATACACTCATGACAAGAATTTGAATACGGGTATAGATAATGGATAACGCGTTGCATAGCGATAAGCGGCTGAACTATTTTATAATACTTTGTGATAAGCTGCAGATTCTGTTCGGTTTTTTGCTGCCAATTTGCCATCAGATTGAGCACTTCAGATCTTGCTCAGTTTTTGCCGACAATCTGATGTCAGTCATGTCAGCAAGGTTTGCTCGGTTTTTGCCGCCAATTTGCTGTCTAGTTATGTTAGCAAGCTTTGTTTGGTTTTTGCCGGCAATCTGCCAGCTTAATCAGTAATAACAACTCTTGTACCAAATTTGTAGCCTTTTTGCTGACAATAATTTGTAGCAAGCACTTGGCAATATCTGTTAGAACAGACGTGGCTGACTGGGCTACTATATGTATGTACGTACCAGATCAGTGGCAACTGTATATGTATGTACGAGCCAAATTAGCAAAAACATCCCAATAAGCACTGTTATATTATTAATAAATATGTTATATGAAAGCAATAAAACAGAATGTTACAAGTAATATACATAAATATTATTGGTAAGTTATGAGTTAATTTTGTAATTTCCAATATAATATATTTAATGTAATATTTGTTATATCATTGTTGCATAATATTATAATCCATATAGAATTAGTTCGTATAGAATTGGTCATAGAGTTGGTAATTAAATAAATAAAAATAAATTATATGTATTTAATTTATAAAATTCGAAACTTAAATTATATAGAAATTTCGATTTTTTGCTTTAAATAGGCAATAAATGTACTATTTTCCATTTATCTGCCCAATTTTAAATAATCTGTTTAATATTCTGAATCCCTTATTGAAATTGTATCAGAAATTACACTGACAAAAAAGAGATATACTTTGGATCTTATGTTAGTACCCGTCCTTTGTAGGCTGTATATATTTTATGGTGAAAACTTGAATTCAAATCTTTGAATATTTAAGTTTGGTTTCGCTGCGTAGCGGCAAGCGAAGGAACACGTATATAGTAATATTATATTGCAATAATATTATGTTACATTACTGTCATAATGTTGCAAAATAATACGTATGATATATTAAAGTTTTATATCGTATAAGAGTATCTTGCGTCATTATTTTTGGTATTTCCACATTACATTATTGCAATAAACAGTGTTTACTGGAATGTATCACAAATGTGTGCTATATATTATGTTAGCAAAATTCTGACAACGATTTAGCATAATCTGCCGTTTTAACTAATATCGGCAGAAATACAACAGAAAACGAAACAGTCTCTGTCATAATATGTTATAAAAAATGTTGAAATGAAATTCTTGGCATAAAAACAGTAGAATATAAATATTGCACGTGGCCACAATATGTGAACAGTTACTAAATCAAAACTCAGCAGAACATGACGTTATGTTACAAGAATAAGCAGAATATCAACAAAAATCGAGCTTATCCGCAGTACGGCGCAAAGTGGAGCCAAATCCCGAAAAGCTAGCTAAACCCTCAAATGAAGAGCTAGGTAAATATTGACAAAAGGGGACCTTGCCCCAATGACCTTGACCTTAACATATGTTGTCAAGGACATGCTACTGAGTAACTTTCAAAAAGTTTTTGCCGTCGCTTGTTGTTTATTAAAAAGTTATTAACAAAATAAGTTTAACGAATCGAGCGTAATTTTCTGACATTAATATTAAGAAGTATACACATACACACAATATATATGGCATGTGTATGTATTATGAAGTGGAAAGGTGGACGGGGGATGTTTCTTAAATGTACATGGTGTCAAAAAATTATAAGTTGTTAACAAAATAAAAGTTTAATGAATGGAACATAATTATCTGACACCGCGTACAAGAAGAAGTGTTTAAGAATCAGAAATCACAGAAATAGGTTTGGGTTAGGTTGTATCTTCCGGAAGTGGAGCCCCCCCTCCGTAGGAGGGGGGGGGGAGGGCGAAACCCACTGAATCCATGCATACACTTTTCTATCCACACAACAATTGTGAGGTGGATCTCGCTTCGCTTTGTAAAATATATGCGTGGACACATAAATAAATGATTCTGCTAAGATACGCTCTATATTAAATGTACATAGTGTCAGAAAAATTACGTTTTATTTAGTAAACTTTTTTTATTAATAACTTTTCAATGAACAACGAGCGACGGCTAAAACCTTTTGAGAGTTACTCAGGGCGATGATCTTGACAACATATGTCAAGATCAAAGTCATTAGGGCTGGGTCCTCTTTTGTCAATATTTATCCTAGAAATGTACGGATCAGAAGTTATCATAAACCAATTGAAAATATCTTCCATTGTTTTGGCTCTCGAATACTTTCGCGACAAGTTTTCACGATATCTTTTGATGTTTTTGTTTCGAGCTTCTTAAGCATTTTCGGATAATTAGCCGACTGGTAACAATGCATGAGCTATTACTTGTGGACCGTGAATTAATAGCTTGTGCACCGAAGTAGGCATATAATACCAGGAGTATAATCCGACAAATTTTCTTGTAGTTTCGACCGCATATTCTTGAAACTTATCACAATTTATCTCATGGCCACTCGAAATAACCTGCAGAATCACATGGAAGCTTTGATTAAACATCCGTACAACTCTGTTATCAAAGTAGACAGCCGAGTTTTCGAAAAAGCGCCGAGCTATATTCCCATCATTAATACAATATTTCCGTATCCTAGCTTTGGATCGATGGTTAGCTCCAATTTTAAACGGAATTCTTTTTGAATTATCCTCTTATGGTCTTCTGTCATCTGCTTCTCTTCCGCACTACATGCTTGTCATTTTTTACTACCGAGTTTGTAGGACAAATGCAAACAGCATTCAAAGAAATGTATCCACGCGTGCAATGTCAACAATCCAAACTTTATATTGGTTTCATCGACCTCCTTTTATAGAATAGCATCGATTTCATTAAAATCTTTGCTTGTAGCTGCACACAAATAGCAATGTTGCGCAGATTTTGTAGATGTCAATGCGTTGCACACTTTACCATTGACCCTTGTGAATGTCATGTTGTACACAATCGAAATTTCCTTCCCATTTATTATAGTTTCGAAAGGTGACTTGATCTGTTCCTTGATGTGTTGTACTTCATTGACTGTCAACTCCGTGTTTTCGTGCAGAAA